GCCGGTGCCTGCTGCCCCTCGGCGCTGCTCCTGCTCCCGCTGCCCTGCCTGCTGTTGCTCCTCCATCTCCAGATCGGATCACGGTGAGGGAAAGATGAGCGAGGAGACGGCGACTTCTGACAACGAGTAAGCGAGCGCCTCATTGATCTTGACTCCCCCACCCCGTCTTTCTGAGCACTTCCCCAGATCCCGTGGGGTCTCGGGTGCCGGAAAGCTGGCGGCTCTGGAGAGCCGGTGCATGTAGATCAGCGATTTTGGGGCCATTTTATTTAATGGCAGCACCCCTCTCCACCCCGTGGGGCTCATTGCTTTCTATTAAGTGCAGGGGTGAGAGAGCAGTTGTGTTTTTCTGAGACGGAATGCTGTGGATGAAAGTGGAGTTACCCTTTGCCTCGAAGACCCTAGCTGTCTTCCTCCCAGTCTAGCGTACCACCCAGCATGCCTTGGACATCCATTCTGCTTCTTTCCCAGCTATTTCACTTGGAAACTAATGTGTGGAGCAACTTCTGCAGCGCACTGCTCTTGAATCTTAATTCGATGAGTCAGTGACTCTTAAATACCGATTAAGCCTTCGTCCCCTCCCCCCCTTTAAACTTAGGGCCTATCAGATTACTGTAAGAAAAAGTAAGGTTAGGGAGTTTAGATTTTTTAAAAATATAATAGGATTAACAACGCTTGGAATATGCGGGATATTGAGCTACTTTTGTTTACATTTGCGAATATTGGACGCTCCTTTATCAGGATCGTAAAAGAATTTAAAATTCCGAATGCTACTTTTTATCCCCCGGCTGTATTAAACACACTACGTTAATAAAATTTATCTTCCTGACAGGATGGTGACCGAATCAACTTCCAGGGCGTTTTTAAATTTTAAGCTATTCTTGTGTTTTCCAGACGAAATAGTTTGATTTTTAAATATTTTACTTTAACCTAGGCGCTGGAGGAATGAATAATGATGTGGTAACCGTTTGAGATGTAGAAGGGATTTAATCCTATGTAGAACAGTAGTATCTGTTTTCGTGCAATTAAGTTCAAGTTTTGTTTATGTTTGAAGGTTTGGAAAGAGTTAAGTGAGTTAGGACGAGTTAGAATGCATTCTTTTAAACAAAGTGCATTCCTAAAGTCAGACCTCTTTGGAAAACCTTAAAAGTCCAGGGTCGAGGCCAGTCTAACATAAAGCAGCTAGAAAAATGCCAACCATTATTCCACCTCCTCGAAAGGCACACACTTCTGGTGAGCGGGTGTAGAAGGAGGTAGGTTGCTGCAGTGTGTCAGTGCGTCTAGAAGCAGAAGTGGCCGCCATGTTCTCTCTTTTTGTGAATCGCCTTCATTTGCATAGCACACTCTTCATTCATAAAAAAAAAAAATTAAACATCCATCACCTTGGACATGTTGAAAGGATTTCCCAAGAAAGAAATTGTAGAAGCTTTTTTTTTCTGTCTTCGTGTCGATTATTGATTTCAGGAAGTAAAGGGGATTTGGAGTTTTAGATTAAATTTTAAAACAAACGCACGCACAAACAACTACCCCAGTTCTCAGAATGTTGACACAGTTATGTGGGAAATATCAGTTCGGGGAGGTGCTGGGATCACGTGATCGCCTCCATTCATAAAATACCTGGCTGTCCATTCACAATGTAGTACACTGTCTCACTGCCTTCCGCCCATTAGACCTACATTGAAGGAGATCAGGAAGTCTATCTCAGATATTGCTTGCTTAGAAGAAAACCTGCTAAAAAGCTGAACAGAATGACGGTGACTTTGTTGGTGTCTTTCAGTCAAGTAACTTGGATCAGAATGTTCTATTGTAGAGATGGGCAAAGACTACTTAATTTTTTAAAGTACTCAATATCGCCTTGTGGAGACAGCTGATAGAAAAATGGTTGGAATGTGAATTGACAGAAAAAATAGATTGTTTCTAAATCGTACCCTTTTTTTTCATTTGCCATGGATAAATTAATAGTGCAAGTATTCTTTTTTAATAATATTAGTGGTTGGATGATAACATCTGTTAAAAACTAAATGAGAAAATATTTCCAGTAGTTAAATTCCCAATATATTGATTTTTTTGAAACACTGAACTTCACCAGGATTGTCTTTTGTAAAAAATGTTAAATATACTTAGTATGGGACTGCTTTAGAAATTATTCATTTGGACTTACACAATTCAATCTTCACAAATAGGAGCTTTGTCATAACTCTTTTGAGTAGGAACAGACATATATTTTAACATTTTGGAATGAGGTGTTAATCTTTTATGAGGACAATCTGGGAGGAGGTTTATTTTTACAAACTATTATATTGGAAAAGGATGTATTCATCTGGTGATAAGTTTTGTTAAAGAGTCAGCGTTGTTTGCTTGTGCATTAGTTAAACCAGTAAAAGTGAACTTTTTTTGGAAGGTAACTTTTAATATGATAATTTATATTTCATCTTTAATTTCTGAGGTAATGTTTTTAAATAGGAATGTATTATTTATAACCCTATATATTATGAAGAAAAGAGATTATGGCAGAAGCTCCCGTAGCTTTAGCATGGTTCAAGTGTCCTGCGATACAGATTTTATACACATTTTTCTGGTACTTTTTTAAAGCCACAAGTTCATAGAGATTTAATCATAGTAGTTACCGATTATTAATACTCTTCATTCTTTTTCACCTGACTTCAGTTCAGATTAAATGAAAAACACTATTGCTTGAGAAATTGTTCATTTTTGTAGATAATAATTGTAAAATCTAGCAAGGCCTTTAGAGGCCTCATTCTGAAATTATTTTTGAGTTTAGAGTACTATGTAGAAAAATAGATAACCCTTGGAAGTTGACTGTGAGTGTCGGTTTAATCAAGAATTAAAGGATTTTGTGTAAAGGGAATTGGAGTATAAAATGTTATTTCACCGTTTCAAATTCATGTCTAAAAAGGCAGTGATAGGTGTATGCTTAGTGCAAAATGCTTTGTGTCTTAAAAGAACAATTTTTTTCTGGTAATTTTTTGTTTTACATAAATTGTTTAATATTCTAGTCAGATGTTTCTAGCAGATAAAACCAAAGTAATGTACATGTTGAATAAACATGTAGAGTCTTAAACTTTTAAAGTCATAAGGGTCTTTGTTTTTTGCTTTTGAGTTAATAACAGTACCTGTCCTTTGCCAGTTTGGCCAAAACACTTGGAGGAGTAAAATACCAGAAATATTGAATATTTTACTTATTAGGTTCACATTATCCAGAAACACTTGCCATGTCAATACTAGGCTTTCTAATAGCAAGTTGGGATTTTTATTAAATTTTAGAACTAGTTTAACTAGAATTAGGTCATGTGATAACCTTGCTATGGTATAAACTGGGTTAGAATCATTTTTCTATAAATACAAAGCAAATTTTTGTGGTTGTATCATTAATGCCTCATTAAAAATATACCCTGTGGTAGGTTGTTCTGAGGATGTATATGAATATATATTACATTTTACGTGTGTAAATATGTATACGTTATTGCATATGTGTAATTGGAAAACATTCTAGAAGTAAAAGTCTTGGAAAGGAACGCTCATTTATATAGTTGTAGTATGTGCATAATAAGAGACATTTGCATAGAAGTCAGCCGATCTATGTAAGGTAAATAGGAGCTAAATCACTGTTCACCTCATTCAGCTTCATTTCCTTTTTCTTTCTGATTTAAATTTTTATCTTGTGCTTTTAAAAACTCATAATGCTAGCATGAGTAATCTTCCCTTCCCACAAAATTTTTATGGATATACATCTCCCCCCCAAAAAAATCTTCTCATCTTATATTCTCCCCCCAGTATTCCCTCCTGTCTTATCTTTGTACTTTTGGTACATGTTTATATTAGGGTTTTTTAAAATTCTGTGATACTGTAATCATTTGCTTGTTTTTAATGTCCCTGTTACATAGCCCCCTGTCCTAATGTGTGTCACTAGCAATGTTCAGTGATACTTAATGAATGTGGTTGAATAATGGAATCACATTAACTTTGCTTTTTGTGAATTTATGCATTTCAGGTCATTACTTGCATCAGAAAAATAGGTTGAAAAATTATGGGAAAAGTAATTATTATCCTTATGAGAAAATTTATCTTTTTAAAAGCCCAAATTGGCCTTATTTTTGCCATGTTTTGTTTTTGCTAGTTTGAGAAATTACTTAATTCAGGCCTCCTGAAATGATCCTAGATGCTGTTGGAACATTTGGATGTGCTTATCCTTTGAGCTGTACTGTATATCTGAAGAATCATGTAGCCAACACTTTTGTGTCTGTCTTTTTAGAAATATGAAGCTCAAAACTTAACAGTTTCTGGCACTTTGTCGATTTTTTACATTCTTAAATCTTCTCTTCCCCCCAGCTCCTTTAGGTGCCAACTGAGGGACTGACTAGTGATAAATCTGAAATTGATGGAGAAAGGGTAATAGGTATAGGTTCCAAAGTTTTATGGTGACTTAGAAGTGCCTAAAAGGGAAAGAGTAATAATCTAGCCTCTTTGAGTTTGACAACTGTAGTCATTCTTAAAAAGGGAGAAGGGTTGGTAAAGCCAGATTTTCTTTTCCACCCTTCAGTGTGAATTGGAACTGTGTTTTTGAAATTGCCAATTTAAAATTACTTCACCCTGTGAAATAGTAGTAGTTTATTTCAGTAATATACAGTGATCTCTAAAGTGAATAAATAATGGTTTATTTGCAAATCTTCTGATAGATAACAATTGCTTGTCACTTGGGTATGTATCATACTTTTTCCTTCAATGTTAATGAGTTAATTCATTTATTGGATTTTTGCTTTGTGCTAGGCACCGTGATAAATGGTTTATTCAAGTGTTTTATGGTTCATGTATATACACATTCTTATTCTCATTGAAATAGAATTACACAGTGGATACCCTAGCAGGGTAAAATATTGTGAATATTTTTTTATGTTAAATATTCTAGATCATAATTTTTAATGGATAAAAATTTATATTAATGATATACAACATTAATTTCCATCAGTGTACAATGATGTTTCTATTATTGTTGAATAGTATTGCATTTGATCCTTTTTTAAAGATTATAGTTCTGTTTTATCTAAATCTGTTGCTTCCTCAGGATAATCTTGGAGTGGAGTTAAAAGAGATGCAAGTATTTTTAT